GCTTCAGTATATACGAGTGAGCTTACAATTTATTCCCACAATATTTTAATTGAAATTTCCCTCAAATTCGTTCATCACAGCTTATGAAAAGCGTGCACATGTGTACAATGTCTCGCTATAGCTCGTACAGTCGCCATTTCAATGAGCGTGCAAAAATGGTTACTATGTGTGAATGTAAATAGACGTTTTTGTTGCTTTATTTGAAATTGTGCGCTTTTTATGCGTTCATTCATTCAAATGTTCGCTCGTTCGTCCATTCGATGTGTGCTCATTTTAAACCACAAACATCGACATCGCTATAATTTTCCCTTGTTCGATAGCGATCCTCCCTTTCCCCCCCACCCAAAAAGAGAGTGAGATAGAGACTGAATAAATAGACCCAATCTTGTTCACAACAATTCATTAGTCCCAATTGAATAACCGAGGATATAATGTGGAAAAACAGAAAATTTCACAAATAAACTACATTGCCAAGTATTACATTGGCATAAAACGATCTAGATTATTTTGGTTCAAGGGTGACTCTAAAGCTAATGGTTTATCGTGCGTTTCGCTTTTGAAACAAAGCGGTCAAATATATCGAAGCAAAAATCTAAGCCATGGATTGCAAATCGCTTGTTTTTCGGTCTCGTTTGTGGCACCATTGCACCATAATTCAAAAACGAGCGAGGAAAAAAAACGCTCGAATGTGTCTGAAGGAACAAAAATGAAACACTTTTATCAGTTCTTAATTGATGATACATGCCTTGAATACAAACCCAGTCATTGAGCAGCAAAGATTAATTTCCAAGCTGTAAAAATCATTACTTGAATAACACATTTCTGATAGTGAACGTTTTGTTTATTTTACAGGGTACAATCTATTCCAGATGCATCTGCAGCGCAAATTTATTCTCGATGTGTGTCGAATTCGAATAGTGTGTGTACATTTATTGTTCAACATGGGAAGGCAAGGGTGCCAATTGAGCAGAAAATCAATAATTCGAATGGAATGATAACGTGATTTCAATTGAAATGGTTGGAACTCATGCAGAATTCATTGGAACACTTCAACAAATATTTTGTACAATCATTTAAGACTTCTTCACAATGTTCTTGCTTCTTTTTTTTCTCTTCTGTGCAGTGTGCACTCTATTTTTTGCCATCTCCGTCTGTTTTGTTATTTTGTTCAATAAACTCATCATTTATTGTTGTCATTTATCTTGCTTGCTTTGCTCGTTGAACAGAGATTTTAATCAAGTAAGTATGTATTCGTACTGGGTACAGTCGTGCAACTGAAAATTCGTATCATTCCTTCGTTCATTTTCGTTCATACCATGTCATCATAAATTCAGGTCCTTTCTTCGTGGAATTTCTTAAACGACATATTTTTTGACAAAATTAAATTTTTCATGTGACATCCTTTTAACTCCATCTGAACTTGGCGAGTAAATCTTTAATATTTATTGATTATAATTAGTGTACAAAATGAAATATTTTCAACTTAATGACTTATAAACAGTTTCCCCCTCTGCCTTTCTCCTCTTCGCTTGTATCCGCACTTAATTTAAAGTCAAAGCAAAATAAAAAAAAAACACGAAATGATATTTTTCTCTTCTGCATTTTGCCACCGCATTCGATGAAATGAAAATATCGCACGCTTGAACCACTACATTCCATTTTAAATTCGTTTTTTTTTTTTTTTCAAAAAGATTTTCTATCATTAATTCATATTCCCCTTTTTTATCGCTTAATTTTCTTTTGTAGATGCTTTTCATCACATTTTCACTTTAAAATATATTCATATATTCCAACGAAACGATGATTTTAACAACACATTGCGCAAACATAACATACACTGACAATAGACCATAACAAAGAGCGCTATGATACGAAAAAAATAATAATAAATTACCTAATATTTCGAGACACCGAAAAAGAGAGAAAGAAAGAATACAGCAGCAATTCAGTTGCTGCAAATGGCTGTAAATTCGCGACGGGCTACTGCATTTGGGCAAAATATAACGGAAAAGGAAACGAAGTAAAGGAAAAGCTGTTTTTCACCATTTTTTTTCTTCTTCTTTCTCTCTTTCTTATTCCAAATGTTTTCTTTTTTTTTTTCATTTTCATTCGTTCACAGCATATAAGGTTTATACACCATTTCTAATGCTTAGGTTTTATTTATAATAGGCTAAATGCATGTGATTCAGACAAATTTTGAATTTAAAACAAAAATAACATTGTACAAATAGGGCCGGGGCGGAGGACAAAGAGAAGGTAAAAAAAGTGTTCATTTTGTCGGATATGGTAATGTGTTTGGTATATATGAAAGTTTTTCGACCCATTTCTTGTGTATACAAAGGAAAACAGAAAATATAATAATAAAAATGAACAATAAACGCAGGAAAGAATTAAGCTCGAAGACGATTCAATAGCAAACAATGAGTGTGTCGGTGTCCAATAATACCGGGCATTCGGGTGTACAAACAATATACAGTCTTTGAATTGTTTACCGAAACATATGTAATTAAATATCACTACAAGCACTGCACATTATATCCGAAATGCGTAATAACAATTTAGCGACGAATTTTCAATTCCGCTGTCAGAACTGCGATGGAATTGAAGGAAGTGTGACAACCGGAAACGGTTTTCTCAGCATTGTGTTGCGATCACATACAATACCAACAACAAGCTGATTGCTATCAGTTTTACTCTACCGTCTCGATGACAAAGAACGACGAAAACTACAACGACATCGACGAAATTTAAAAATTGTTGCAAATTCATGAGGTTAAGATGCTATTGCCGTACATTTTCGTTTATGGTTGTTGCTTAGGAATGCCATGTACCATAAACGAATGTATATAAGTGAATTGCAAGTTGCCGTCGTCATCGTCAACTGCCACAGGGTAATGTAAACGCAAATACGAACAGCAAACCGGATGAATGTTGAAAATATATTTTATTGGACACTATGAGTAGCAGTGTGATTTCTTCTGTTTTCGGACTGTTTTTTTTCTTGCTTTCGCAAATGTTTGTGAAGACAACCGCTTTCTTTTTATCTTACTTCTATTCATTTTAGGAACATATATCTGTTTTCGCTCAGCTTTCCACTTATTTCCTCTTAAATGGACTACGTTGTGCCAAAATTGTCTCAGGACTTAACAGCTCGCTTTTTTTCTCCGTATGGTAATGATAATGACAATGAGTTCAGCTATATTATCGTAATATTCGTGAACTGTTTTCCTTCAACAGATGGGGGCTATTTCGAAGAGCTGTGCACAGAAAGTAATACTAAATTTTTAAAAGAAAAAAAAAAACCGTCTATAACATGCAAACGGTTCACTTTCAGTTCGACAGACAGAACTTGAAGTTAACACGACAACATACCCACTTTGGACATAGACCAGCAAAACTAACGAAGGACGAAATAAAAATGACATTCGAATGAGTGACTAGAATAGATAAACTTTAAATTATTGATTCAATTGTATTACCCCCATTCGAAGCACAAAAATGTTGTTAAGCTATTCAACTTTTAGTGGATAATTTTATTTTATTTGTGCCAGGTTTTATTACAGGTCCAATAGAGTGCAGTTTAAAAGTTGTACAATTTTTAGCTTTGATTGTCCAAACGCAATTCTTGTTCAAATGTTTCCAATTCAAGGATTGTATCTGGACGTCGCTGCTCGAAATATTATATCATCATTTGCTGTTGGGTATTCGCTTTTTCAATGGGAAATCGATTTTTTCAGCTATCTAATCATTAAAAAAAATGAAAACAGATTATATTCGAAGAACGAACCACTGAAATGGACTTCCTTACAAAAATGTTTGAACATTTATATTCTTTTAAGAACGTACATTATATTAAACGATTTCTTTTTAAATCAATGAAATAAATGATTTTCCTTAAAACCAAAATATAACTGTCTTTTTTTTTGCAAAATGAAAAAATCTTAGTTAGTTGAATTTAAACAAATATTTCGCGAAAATAAAACAGCCACATTTTTTTGGAGTAATCCCAAGAGAGAAAAGGATAAGTTTCTTTTATGTTTATTCATGGAACATTTTAATATTTTTAAACTTGGCGCTATGTATATGCAAAAAAACCATAGACATTCTTTGCGCTTGCTCTAGAAAACGCATTGAAACGCAGCGTCACCGTATCTTTTCCTAAGCAGAAAAGCATATTCAATGTTTTTGAAATCGTGAAAAATGCTAAAAATGCATTAAAAAATCGAATAATTTTATCGAAATAATTTTAAAATATCACACATTTTACTAGCTCCACAATCTGTGTTGCATTCTATTTATGGTCAAATTAAAAACGCCCATAAATGGCGTTGCGTTAAATGTGGTATTGTCAAATGAATTTGACGTTTGTGTAGTATATGTGTACAGAGCCACGGACACTAGTTTTGTCTCTGTCATATTTTTGCCTATTTGACATCGTTCATTTGACGCATGTTGATAAATACATTGTATTCGTGTTGTTTGTTAATGAGGTGTATTTAATTACTTTTTCCGACAAGTAAATTCACCGAAATTTTGTGGATTCGTTTTGCATATGTGCGACATAAATTGAAACGATACAAAAATAAGTTCAATTAAAAAAAAACAGAGAATATCGTCGCAACAATGATTTAAACATCGTATTAAAATTTGTGATAACGAATCCACAATTTTTGTCCATTCGGAAGCCAAGAAAATCGAATACAACAATTTCAACAATTATCAAGAGAAGCAGTAGCAAAATAGCAAAACAAACAATAAAAGTGGTGTATCTTTCAAGCAGTACAACATAATAAACGGAGTTATCCACAAGATGGAACACATCAAAACCCCAAAGGTATTAAAAACCACAATCGAAAATAATCTATGTCAAAAGCGACGGATGAAGAGTGTGAAAATATTATGTTTTTGGTTTTCAAGTAAAACAAAATAAAGTCATAAATCAAACGAGAAAACATTAAAGAGTCATAAAGGTGGCTGGAGTTAGTCATGGTCGTGCCCAGCCAGAGACACAGATAAAGAATGAAAAATGAAAAAAAAAAATCACATTCCAGATGTTCAAGGACTGGAATATATTGTGCGATTAGTGACAGAAAATCGTTTGCATCCCTGTATAATTGATTGTTCAGTGTTTAGCCGCCCCCGGTTGGTGCAATAGAGAGCATTATACATGACACATCATTGACATGTGTATGGTGTCTGGTTCCATGATATCCATATATTTGTGTGTTGTGAAAATGGTTTTCTTTATTTTTGTTACTCCGCGCACTGTAATTTTTTCTCCCTCCGTTCACAAGTATCGTAGTCAACCCATCCGAATATATCCAATGTGCACACTTATACATGTGTTTTGTTTACGTGACATAATATCTATATGAATGTTTGAAAGGCGCGCACAGATAGTGGAAAGTTTTTCTGCAGCATTTTTTTTTTTTAAGTCGCAAAGATGACGAAAAACCATGAGCATAAATTGCGACTAATCACAACTGTGTTGTTAAGCATACACATTTTTTAAGTGTGAGAGAAAAGAAACCGCAGTGGCAAAACCATTTTCAACCATCGGGTGTGCACTGTGATATTAAATTGAACAAAATTTTGTTTGTTTGCTTGCCATAATGCATGGGTTCGACTAAAGAGAAAATTATTAATATTAATAAGCAAAAAATCAATTTGGCGCCATGAGTATTACACAATTTTTTAATGGAAATCGTTTGGCAGACGATTTATCGCCAGTTTCTGCATTACGATTGAATTTTGATCAATTACCTACTGAAACAACTGACACAATAAAACCGACGAAAAATGTATTTGGCGTTGCTGTTCCAGCACAATTTGTACCTGAACGTATTATTTCGTGGTTAGACAATAGCAATAATGATGGTGCTTTCAATCACACAAACCAATCGGATTTAACGCCGAACTCAACTACATCGGATAAAACTTTATTCAGCAATAATGATTTAAACAGGCCAATCATTAAAAAAGTGTGCACATTTTCTCTCATTGAATAAATTTCTATTTTTGTACATCGATTTAAAATCGGTCTGTTTGTGTATTTTTTCCCCTTTTCTTTCTTCGAATAGGTTGACAATGTGCGGATGATTGACCGATATAATGTAAAAAATCCGACTATTGGAACGCTTTATATAACAGCAACGCACATAATATTTGTCGATCCGGAAACAAACAAGGAAACATGGGTAAGCTATTGTCAAATGAAAGAGTTTTTTCTTTGTTTTTGCTCATACTCAACATACCAATATATGAAGTGTGTACATCTTTCTCCCTAGATACTACATATGCACATTGGAAACATTGAGAAATTACAACTCACAACCACTGGTTCACCGCTACTGATAAGATGCAAAACATTTTTGTTTGTCACATTTGTCATACCACGTGAAAAGGAATGCCATGATATTTATGTTACGCTACAAAAACTATACCAGCCAGGTAAAATAAATTTTGATTTAATATGTGCAAAAATGTCGGCAAAATGTACGATATTTTAATGAAATGTTTGACTTTTATGTTCGCACCCTTGTGTCCATAGTTCATATTCAAAATTTGTATTGCTTCCAATATACATCGAGCAATGAAGAGCTACCAAAATCAACGGGATGGGATTTCTTCTCATTGGAGACTGAATTTAAACGACAGCATGTACCAAACGATCGATGGACATTGTGCAATTTGAATAAAACATACGAATTGTGTGATACTTGTATGTTATTTCCATTTTCATTTCAAATTCATTTAGTACGCTTACAATGATTATGTTTAATGAACACATTCCTTATAGATCCAAGACAGATTTACGTTCCAACGGAGGCAACAACAGCCATGCTGATTGGTAGTTCAAAGTTTCGTTCAAAGGCTCGTTTGCCTGTTTTAACTTATTTACATTCGAATCAAGCATCGATTTGCCGATGCAGCCAACCATTGTCGGGATTTAGTGCACGCTGTTTAGAAGATGAACAAATGCTCGAAGCCATTCGAAATACAAATTCAAACAGCAAATTTATGTATGTAGTAGACACCAGGCCTAGGGTAAGATATTGTGACACTATTTCAAAACAAATATATTTTTATCAATAAAAGAGTAATAGTTTGTGTCCATTTATAAATAATATTGTTTACATTTTTAGATAAATGCAATGGCAAATCGTGCAGCAGGCAAGGGCTATGAAAACGAAGCATTCTATGAAAATATAAAATTCCATTTTCTTGGTATTGAAAATATTCATGTGATGCGGACCAGTTTGCAAAAACTTGTTGAAAGTAAGTTACTAAATTCCTAGACCGAAAAGAAATCCAACAACAAAATGACAAATAATTTATTTTTTTACAGCGATTTCAATTGATCAAAAATCCCTGACAATGAGCGGATTTTTGAATTCGCTTGAAGCATCTGGTTGGTTAAAACATGTTCGGGCTGTTCTTGACACTTCAAGGTATACTTTTTCTGCATTTCACAGTTTCTCTTTTTCTGTTTCCAATGTTCATGATAAAATAATGTTTTTTTAATAGCTTTATTGCATCGGCTGTAGATAAAGGAATTTCAGTAGTAGTACATTGTTCAGATGGTTGGGATCGAACAGCACAAGTCTGTTCATTGGCTGCTCTTATGTGTGATCCATTTTATCGAACTATTAAAGGTTTCCAAGCATTAATTGAAAAGGATTGGCTGGGCTTTGGTCATAAATTTAGCGATCGTTGTGGTCATATCCAAACGGATCCAAAGGAAATGTCACCGGTTTTCACGCAATTTCTTGATTGCACCTTTCAATTGATGCAACAACGCAACGATGCGTTCGAATTCAATGAACGATTCTTATTGATTTTGCATGATCACGTGCAATCTTGTCAATTTGGCACATTCATTGGTAACTGTGAAAAAGATCGTCTCGATTTGAGATTATCTGAGTTGACGTTTTCATTGTGGGGATACATGGCAAACCATTTAAATGAATACGTAAATCCACTGTATCGCCCGGAGATCAACTCAATCATTCGACCGAATTTGTCGCCACAAAGTATTAAGTACGCATTTTTCACATGGTTTTTTTTTTCTTCTTGCTAATTTTCATGATTATTTCATAAACAGATTTTGGCGCGGAATGTACGGACGCTTTGAGAGTGGCGTTCATCCAAGGGAGTCAATGAATGATTTATTATTAGCAAGCCAAGATCATACAAATTCCCTTGAAGATCATGTACAACATTTGACCAAACGAATCGGTTACTTGAAAAATTTAATTTCAAAATCAGCAAAACGTTTTCAAAACGCATCCAAACCAAAGTCGCATCCAAACGATGAAAGTGATAATTCAACGGATAACAAGTATGCGTACGAACTTTCAGATTTTGAATGAGGCATGCTTTTTATTATTACTGTATTTTCTTTTAGATTTGAATATGATAAGAAAATGAGTGAATTGTCCTGTGCTGATGAAGATCATCCCTTAAAACAAGCAGAGTCTTTGCCACCAAAACCAGACACCGACGCAGGCGTCGAAGGTTCGAAATAAAACAAAAAGAAGAAATATAAAGAGAATATAATTAGATTTAAATTTTGCAACAGGTACAAATCAAGTGAGTGACAAAGTAACAAAGGAATTGGATTCGGTGGCTGTTGATTGGAAGAGTTTACGTACAGCTACTGCATGCAGTTGTACGACACCGTTTGATCAATTCAGCCGCAAGGTAATTACATTTTTGACACTTATTCCTTCATTCAATCGTAGTAATGGGTGTTTTTTTTTTTCATTTCTTTAGAGCAATTGTTGGCGTTGCGGAGAAGTATATTGTGTGAGATGCATTAATAATACAATTGAGTTGCCTGGCCATGATAGCAACAAAACAGCACCAGTTTGTCGCAATTGTTTCCGTCTTGTTCAGCAAAATAATAGTCCATAAAATGTGGACTTTTTCTTCTATAAAATAACAGCATAATACTTTGTCACCTTTGCTACTCTTGTTTGCCTCTCTTTTAATCAATTTTTGGTGATTGACTCACCAAAAATACTTTTTAGAATTTATGACAAATAAATTTCTTGTTAATTATATTTTATTATAATTTATGAATACTGTAGACAAAATTACACACTCAGAAATAAATTCAGCTTTGCAATGTTGATATCCATTTAATTAACTTCTTTAACATTCTTTGAAAACCGAACCAAGTTTTTCTTTGTTTTTTGTTTTGGGAAAATAAATATATTTTGTAATTTGTGATAAATTTTCATTTTATGGCATAAAAATGCATTTCATTGAGCTTGTCAATGTTTCAAAAAACAATAATTGAGTTCAATGATTCGGTTGAAGAATCGCTCATTCAAAATATTCAAGATATTTATGTGTTAAAAATTGGACAATATTTGCCGTGTGTTAACTTGTATCGGTACATTATATTTATTATACAAATTGTGCTACTTCCCTAATGGTTTTAGTTTACATTATTCCACCTTTTTCACAATGCCGATGAGAAATAAGTCACACGTACAGCCTTAAAATAAGTTTGTCTTCATTGGTATTGGGAAAGTCTTTCAATTCAATGAAAAAATATATCATTCGAGTTTTTCTTACATTCAAAAGGGGCGTGGATGTCCATTTTGTACATTTTAACGTTCCATATTACTAAAATTACCTGCACTTTTAGATTCTATGTTCATTTATGTAATAATTTCAGACGAAGTGAGCATTGTTTGTATAAATTACTATCGTGAATGTCAATATAAAGAGAGATTGGTTGTTTTTTTTTAAATAAATATAAATAATTATTATCATCTAAAAAATCTCATCATGAAATTAAGATCATAAAAAATATAGTACATTTTTTTATGATCAACTTACTATCTGCTTTATTTTATTTACATGAGAAAGTTACAATATGTGCAAAACAGGTTTAAACCCATGGCATTTAAATAATAAATATTTTGGAATGATAAAAATGATATATATATATTTCTTTTTAATTTTGTTGCTCCATGCGCGGCAATTGGATGTTTATTTGCAAAATGCTTAAAAGTAAAAAAAAAAAAAAAATTGTAAGAGTTGAAATGTTTTAATTTTTATACAAGTATTGCTGTAGTGATGCAGAAACAATCGCTGACTACATAAACGAGACCCGTGTATACGAACTACACTTAAAAATAAGTGTGCACACTAAAGTTCACACTTATCCAAATACGTTGTATATGTATGTGTATTGGTTGTGCATAAACATACGAACTAACGCACATTCCTCTTTGTATTACTCGCACCAAAGACAGCGAACATACAACAGCACTGTGATCTAGTCAACATTGAATTCATTATATATGCTCACTGTTTTCGTTGGTGCGAGTAATACAAAGAGGAATGTGCGTTAGTTCGTATGTTTATGCACAACCAATACACATACATATACAACGTATTTGGATAAGTGTGAACTTTAGTGTGCACACTTATTTTTAAGTGCAGTTCGTATACACGGGGATTAGCCATTTGTGGTAGCATATAAAAGTTTTGATGTTAAACTAAATCATCAGTTTTTTCAGATGCGTTTGTGAAGCATCTCGTATTTTGAGGGAATTATATAAAAATACTGATTAAAAACAATGAAGAGTGATAAAAATCTATCGATTCTGTCCGTTGTGATACTATTTTTATATACGTTTTGTGTATCGGGTGAAGATGAATTACGTGGACGTTACCTTACATCTCGTTAGGAGGACATGTGTTGTTTCGAGTTTTTATATTTTTATTGTCTTAGATTATCTTAGATTAAACGTATATTCTCGAAATGTTAACACCGAGAAAAAACGTGACGTTATCATTTACATTCAACCGGGTGGTTTTTATGTGTTTTCTGGTCGAACCGACGTTTTTGATCCTCAACATTTGATGGATCATGATATTGTTTTGGTCACGATTAATTATCGTTTAGGAACATTAGGTAATTAATGCAAATTTGCCAAGGGGCAAACTACTTCACTTTCGTAATTCTTATAATTCAATCTAGTACTCCGATAATTCCAAAAAATTCTATATAATTCCATACAATGTCGCATAATTCCAAACAGTTTTTGAAGTATTTTAAATGGTTGTTTATTTACACAGAATTTTTGTATGAATAATATTATTTCAACGATAATATTTTTTGATATTTTTTTAATTTTCATAAATATATTTTTATGCAAGTATATACAACCGAAACCAAACTATTTTATTGGCTTCATTTACTGAACGAATCGTTTCGAAAATTGTTTGCACTGCGATGTGTTGTACAATTTGCATAGCAGCGACGTTGTATACTCATACATTCAAAGCATCGCTCTTCACGTACACACACATTGTCGTACAAATCATTTTCGGATGGTTCCCTTCGTTTCGATCACATACAAATGAAACCAATTCAAAATAACTCTCCGAAATCTGTTTGTATGAGAAATGTCAAACCGGTATCATTGATGTGATATACAAGTATGAAAATATATTTATGAAAATATAAAAAATATCGAAAAATATTATCGTTGAAATAATAATATTCATTTAAAAATTCTGTGTAAATAAACAACTTTTTAAAATACTTCAAAAACTGTTTGGAATTATGTGGCATTGTATGGAATTATATAGAATTTTTTGGAATTATCGGAGTACTAGATTGAATTATGAGAATTACGAAAGTGGAGTAGTTTGCCCCTAGAAATTTGCACATCATTATGGAGTTTCTACATATTTGTTATCAACACTTTTGTTGATATCCTTTGCTCTGGATGAATTTTGAAATTTATTTGCCGATTTTTACAAATTAAATTTGTCTAGGTACTCTAACCAAAGATGCACCTGGTAATATGGGTTTCAAGGTAATTCAAGTACATATATAAGATCAGTCGACTATTTTGGAACTTTAGTCATTTGAATTCAAAATTGATTATAATTTACCATAATTGACTTTTTCTTTGTTCGAAACAATCAAAACCATTATAGAGAGCATAAAAAATATAGTGTCATCTGGATATTTCATTTGATTTTGTCATCTGGATATTTCAGCTCATCTGGATGACGTTGGGCGATGATACTATTGTTTTCACTCCGTATCATCGCATAACGTCATCCAGATGATCTAAAATATCCTGATAAAATACAAATGGATACAAAATCCAAATAAAATAGAGAGTCAAAATCAATTCAAAACAATATCGATAAATTTGGTGGAAATCCAAATTCGGTCACACTATTAGGATATAGTGCTGGGGCATTCAGTAACTCGTTGCATTTGGTATCGAAGATGTCTCAAGGCCTTTTCCAATGAATGGCAGTAATGAGCGCGTCAACCGTTGCACAATTTGTCCTCCCATCTGATCAATTGGATTTGGCCAAAAGACAAGCTCGTTTGTTGAATTGTTCACATGAATTGGTGGATGTAATGATGGAATGTTTTAAAAAAGTGTGTAAAATAGCATTTTCGTCATAAATAGTTGCGTTTTGTAATATCGATTATGTTTTTCATGCAATAGGCAACTAAAGAAGACTATGCTAATACATTACCTAGTATGTTTGAATTTCCCGAATCAAATCCAACACTTTTATATTATCCGGTTGTTGAGCCCGACTTTGGGCAGGATCGATTTTTAACTGATAACCCAACATGTTTGCCAAAAGCTGGAAAATTTACTTAAGTAGAAATTTTTACCGGACTTACAGAGTATGAGTTCCTTTCGCCGGCTGTCTGTAAGTCCAACAAATTTAAATGGAGGAATTCACAAAAAAAAATTAGTTTCCCATTGATTTTTGATTAAATGTTTTAAGATATTACGCAAAATGCTACACTACGTGAGCAAATAAGCAAAAACATTTTGAAATTGGCACCAATCCGTTTTCTATATGAAAGAGATACACCGAGATCTGAGGAGATTAGTGCAAGGCTGCAATCATTTTACTTTGGGAATTCCACTTCAGATGATTGGTTGACCACTTCAGATGATTGGATTCCACTTCAAATGATGGGCTTAAAGACGTAAATTCATCCAATTCTATTTTATTTCGTCTATTAAATTGTTTGCTTTGAAGACTACGGGTGTTCGCAGAAGGTGTAACAGGCTTTGAAGTTCAACGATTTGTTCAGTCCTCATACAAAAGTGTTCCATTATAAATTCAGTTATACTGGCCGGTATAGTTGGACCTATTATCCAGGCGATAAACCTTATGGTGCTGTTCGTCATGATGAATTACTTTACTTGTTTTATGTTTCATTTCAAACACCGTTATTCAACACAACAGATCCCGAAAATCAAATGGTACAAAAAATGACTGGCTGGTGGACGAATTTTGCAAGAAGCGGGTAACGAATATTTTAACATTCTAACCATTCAATAGTGAATTCAATTTAAGCGATCCAAATGTGGGTGCGTACACCAGCCCGGTTGAGTGGAACCCATTGACATCAGATACTTCAAAATATTTGAATATCAATGAAAATCCAGAGATAAGCACTTTGGGATGAATTGTTTCCAATCGAGTGCGATTCCAATTTATAATGACTTTTTCTTCCTAAAAAATAAATTTTGCCAATTTAAATTTTTTTTTTATCTAAAATAAAGTGAAAAATGAGACGCTCATCAAATAATAGTTTCGACACTTCAGCACATCATAGAATTACTATGAATATTTCAGTCCAAAATTCTATTCTTATAATATGTAAATTGGATACAATTGATTGGAATTGATTTTCGATGAGAAGATTTGATATTTGTCGTTCGAGATGGAAATTGAAGTTCTGTAAAATAATACAACGGGTGTTTTTTTTTTCAAATATAAGAACCGCATGCAAAATATCGATAGTAAAAATCGCTTGAATCGGTTAATAAAAGGTCAACAATGGAAAATTTTCCAATACATGTGCGTCATCAGTGAACAGTGATTCAAATATTTGCAGTTGAAGCGCACAAAAATGAACAACAACATTGACACTTGTACACAGCTGATTCGAACTGTTGTCATTCATACGCGAAGAGCGAACACAATGTACGAACGATAAAGACAGAGAAATACATCAAGCATGAACGTTTATGTGTTTGTTTGGTCGGCGAATGTCTATTGGAAATGGTCTAGTATATATTTGAGTTCAGTTAGAATTTGATTTGTAAACAATTTTATAGCGATGCGCAAAAAAATGACACGTTTTATCTTATCTCAAAAGAAAGTATCGATAACAAAAAGAAAACATGTAAATGTCAATGGTATCGGCAAACCCACCGTCGATATCGGTTATACATTCACGATATGTTTTACGTAAATGTATAAAACAAAAGAAAAATCATCGTAGAAATGAAATTATGTCATACATATATACAGAAGTTGTTGTGCGAGTCCAATACATATTGGTTCGGTTTTGCTAACATACCGATGCACAAACACATAGACAATATGACATATGTTGTTGCGGGAACATATTAATTCATTGAGTGGTGCGCATGTCACTCACAGAAAGAGTCTAGTGTCAAATTGACTTTCAAACAATAACAATATCATAAATTTCTTCGGTACACGTCGTTCGTTGTGTTGTCTATGATTCGTTCTGTTCTCACGGGCGGTCAGTGTAATATAATATATTGTTGTGTGCAATCTCTATTATTTTAATTTGTCGTTAAAATCTTGAATTAAAATATTTTCAGTTTTATTGAATCGTTTGTTAACACTTAAAACTCAACGACTTATTCACAAATCATTTGATGAATAGAAAATAATCAAAACGACGATACGATTGAGAAATTGATTTGCTGCATATCATCACAATTTAAAAAAAATATACATATGCAATGTTATGAATTGAAGTGATAAGATCACGGAAAACTCTCTTAAATTATTGGTGGTCAATTGAAATGTGTTTTGTTTAAATTATCTCTTCGGGTGGTGATAAACGATTTCGTTCGATTTTACTACAAGGTATGCCATTTTCTTTTCTGAATTTAATCATAACATGGACTTTAAGAGAGAAACAAAGTGTTTGCATTGATCAATTTTCAATTTCCAATAAAATCATAAACTCATACACATCTATGTATATCGAACGCTTCTATAAATTGAGTAACGCTTCTTTATTTAATATTTTTTGAATGAACTTGAGCGTGTAAATAAATGTAAAATCAAACGGTTGTTGATTTAAAATGTGTACAAGTCGTAGGTCGCACATGCGCACCATTTCCTTAACGCTTAATTGTAGATCGAGGTTGATCGACGTTGACCTTCAAAATTTTGTAAGCGACACACATCAGGAAACGCAAGCAAAACATATTAGAACTTTCAAAAAAAAAAAAAAAACACATATGATCACAGCAACATTCTCGTACTTCCGACGAATGTCGCCATGCATAGTTTTTCTTCTCTCAAATTATAACTGTCTTTTTTTCAATGCACAGCTATTTTATGTGAATTCAAACAAATTATTATATTAAATTGTGCATTAATTGTTGCCACAGCGCTAATTTTATAGTTGAACAACAACAATGACCACAATGTAATTAACCAGTGAACGCAAATCTATTAAATTCCATCGCATGCCCCGATATCAAACATGTGTCATAACATATTGATATTGCAAAGACCTGTTGAGGAAAAAAAACTCTTTTTATGACTATATAACACAGAATATAAAGATAGAGAGAATTGATCATTTAGCCGCAAAATATCGCACATGCGAGTGTCGTTTTTTTTATGAATTCCATTTTAATCGGCAGGTTGGTGCCTTTGAAAGTAACAATTCCATTTAATGCGGATGTTAAAAAATGATGGATTATTATTCAAAATAATAAACATACATTAAAAAAAAAATTGAAGTCATATGATCAAATACAAATCTGTAACTATTAAATATTTTTCCGTTGTCGATAATTGGCACAATTACTTTAAACTTTTAAACTGTGATGTCAATTTATCTAAATGCAATCCTGTTACGGTTGAAAGTACATGCGAGATAACAAATTATATTATGTGTATTGAAACATGTTTATCAAAACAAAACAAAAATGAAAAAAAGTAGTTATTAGCGATGATTTGTTGATTACAGTCGTTGAAGTACTTTTACCATCAACCAATTTGCCGGTGTATTCAGTTCAATTTCCTCGAGTTATTCTTCGAAAATAAAATGTAAAAGAAAAACATCAAAACGAAAATGTGTTTGCAAAATCACAAATCATAATAATATGCACAAATACTAGTTTAGCAAACCTTTTGCAATGTCAAATCAAGTATAAACAACAACACATCAAGGCTACAAAAAAATGTATTTAACACTCACCAAGTTGTGAATTCTGATGAAAAAAATTATCTTCAGTTAACATCTATTTGCAGTGAAGAGTTTTTGGAAGCATGACGGCCAAGAATTCGTCGTATGCCAATTTCGAAAAAAAACACACACAAACCAAGAGTCACGATTCAAATGGTTGGTGAACGCCGGCTTGAGCATAAACAGTTACAATGTGCTTCACATTAAAAGAGAAAAAAAGAAACGGTTTTCAAACAGTGTGAAGAGAAGGTAGTAGCACTCCATTTTGTTCATTTCGCACGTCACAATCTATCGTGTTCAATGTAATCGAATACACATTTTGCCACTGTTTGCGACGGCATTTCTTCTTCGACGACACCAACACGATTATGGTAAAAAAATTGACAAATTGTAAGATTAAATAAGTCGAAAAATTTGCAATTCAAACAATCGAATGAATTTTGTACGTCTATACTGACAAAGAAATACAATGCACAAGTGAATTTGACGAAAAACTCAGTTGAAGAATAAGTGAACTCAAAATGGATGATATAGATAGCATTTGTTATTATGTGTTTGATTCAATATCACGCAATGATTTGACCGCTTTGCAAAAATCATTAAAATTGTATCCGGATGCATTGGAATATATGGATCGATTTTCAAACACGCCATTACTGTATGCCAGCTATTGTGGTCGAAGTTGTCTGGTTCGTTATTTGTTTGTATTGGGCGCCAATCATCATCGTATAAATATCTTTGGTAAATATGACCAACGACTAATATAATCAACCAACATAATTCACAACATTTTTTTCGAATACATGCTTCTTCAAGGTCAAAATGTATTGTCGTTAGCTACATATTCCGGCGATATTGAGACGTGCAATGTAATTCTTACGTATGTTGGTTTCGATGAATTTAATGCAACTGGCATTTTATCACCGTTATGCGTGGCATCACTTCAAGGAAATATCGACATTGCGAAAATCTATTTGACACTGGAAATCCAAGACGAAAACCAATTTGATTGTCCAAGCGCCTCACTGCATGGCATTTGTCCGATGCAATTGGCCCAGTACAGAGGTGACAGCAACATGATGAATTTACTACGTCCAAAACATCAATTGCATCTATTCAAAACGCAAAATATCCATTAATAATTGACCACACAGACGCACAAATTTTATATTGTATCATCGTTTGGATTTTCTACATCTTGTTTTTTTTTTTTTTTTGACGCTTTATGACATTTGAGAATTTTCCATTAATTAAGTAATAATGTGAAAGAGACATAGCAAAAATGCTCGAACATTTTGCATTGTCAACCAATAAAATTTCATTCGGGATTTCAATTGAACATATTTGTACATGACAATCGCGACACAGCAAGCACTCTCTCGCGCGCACAATTGTATCAATTTAGACGAATATAGGCTAGAAATAAAATAAAGATTGAACGCATTGAAACATCTGTAAATAAGATTAATTTTGAAACACAAAGACTCATTAAATAAACGAATGCTCAAAAATTATTGTTTGTATTTTCCTTCTGTCATTCGATGACGTTAATTCACATGACTTCCATGAGAACCGATTTTTAATGGAATGCGATGGATGAGGTGGTAAACAATTTGTCGGGCACAACGTACGAGCAAATCCAACCGGTCATGTGATACATAAGCTTATGCGTATATTTGACTGTTTAATTAATTTCATCAATATTTCTTATCGTCACCATACTCACATGACCACCAAATTGTCCGTGTACTTGAAAATTTAACAATAAATCAATCGAAATTTTGAAAACAGATTTCATCATTATTGAACAGCGATACCGTTCGGTTTGGTGACTTTTTTCTCCCGCTTTGCGTATTGCTGTGTCATCAAACAAAAAAAAGGTTATCATTTTCAGCAGCAAGCACACGTTGATTTTATTTGATTTTTATTTTTCACTATAATTCTTATCTAATCGGGAAACTATGTCAGATTCGGGCGAAAGTGATAATTCGGACAGGAAACAATTTAAATCACAGCAAATTAAAAATAGCACGACATAAATTATCATATCATATTAAATCACAGTTCCATGTATCATCGTTTAAAGTGACTCTTCGATAATTGTCAAGTTTTATATCTAATTGAATGAGTCACACACAACTTATTTGCGTGACATTAATTATCATTTATTGTTGTCATTTTCAATAATTAATTTTGCATCAAACATTTCCATTCGGAATATTTGCAGTCGTACAAAATGGAATTGTACCATTGGAAAAAAATCAAAGGGACCAGTAGTCGGATTTTGGTTCGTTTTTTTTCGATGGTTTTGCATAAAATAAGCTTTAATTTAGCAACTTGCTGGTGTTTAAAAATAAAAGCAATGCATATTTAAAAAAAAACAGTCAGCTTAAACGGGTTTTTGAACTCTGACTTTATTTGTTTTTCGTTCAACGTAATTTATCTGTTGATAAAATAAACTGGTTGTAAATGTAAACAAATAGAATAAAAACCTCATCATTTTCGTTTGATCAAAACAAAGACGGGGGTTGGCAAACGCAAATAAAGAAAGCTGAACAAATGTTGGGAAAATTTTGATTTTAATTCGAAAATTCTCAAATCCATAATTATTTGATTTGAAAATAACGAAAAATCATGCCAAAACAATAGATTTGATTCACTTGTGTTATTATTAAACGTGTGCAAACACGTGTATGATTAGTGTGATTATCAACTCGAATGCAATGCAAACTGACTTTGTTTAATTTTTTAAGATTCCCTTTATTCGAATTTAATAATAATCATTTTTATTTACTTTCATATTATATTTATATGTTGTTATCGCCGTCATCATAATAATGGTTGCTGTCTGATCACCCGTTATCGGAAATTTATGACGTTGTAATCGACAGGCGCTTGATAGCACATCGTACAGTTCTGAATATCAATTCAACGAAATCGATTGTGTAACGCGGTCACAAATTGGCTGATACGACTTAATAAATTTCAATGTTCGAGCACAAAACTTAATTGTAAGAAAAAAGAAACGATTTTAATCTCATTGATGTGATATTTAAAATGAGGCGAAAATACTTCGGAAATTAAATAAGGAATTCTTAAAATAAGCGTTAACATCTCAATCGAAAAAGGTTGTCCGTCGATTTCAGTCAATAATTATTACGTACAACATACAATATTTTATTTTCAACGTTTTTTTTTTGGTTTGTACTTGCCATTTCTTACACACAGCTGTAATTACATTATTTATTGCGTCAATAAACTATGGATGAAGATAATAGTGACTATGAAAAGTGAGTGGATTTTATCGATGTTGATTTGATTTTTCGCCTTTCAAAAATTAGTTCATATTTTTTGTATTTTGTCGTTGTTGTTTTGTGTCCTAAAGAAAAGAGTCCATCAATGAATACACACATTTGCCCATTTATTCGGTGAATCGACTGGTGCTACGGCAAGAAGACATTGCAGAACATGGTGGTTATCAGAAACAAGTGCAATTAAATTGTTAGTTATCTTTTTTGTCTTTTATTTTTTTCTTTTTTTTCGTCAAATAATCATTTCTCGCTTTCATTTCAGATGCTGATAATGTCAAAAAATCATGTTTCAATTTTAATATTGTACAATTTCTACTTAATCTAATTCCCGTGCTAAGATGGTTACCGAAATATTCGCTGAAACAAGATTTGCCCGGCGATTTATCAGCCGGAATCACAGTTGCTGTGATGCATATACCCCAAGGTATACTCATGCAATCGATCAATTTTGGTTTTCCTAATCGTTTTTTTTTCTCTTCCAGGAATGGCGTACGGTTTATTGGCCGGTGTTAGTCCGAGCTCAGGTTTATATATGGCGTTTTTTCCAACTTTAATTTATTTTCTATTTGGTACTTCTCGACACATTTCGGTCGGAACATTGTCTGTTATTAGTCTTATGACATTAAAAGTAGTTCAAACCTATGGAACTGATGTGAGTGGATCGCATCCAAATTTAAACAGTACAACAGAACCAACACTGATGTCCATAAATCAGGTGGAACATTATACAAACATACAAGTTGTTACTGCATGCGCTTTTATGTGCGGAATACATCAGGTAAATCACTTTGAAAATGATTTACCAACAAAATCATTATTAAATTTAAATCAATTTGATTGCAGATTTTGATGTCGTTCTTTCGATTGGGCAGTTTGGCAGCTTTACTTAGCGAGCCATTGGTTAATGGTTTCACAACCGGTGCTGCTGTTCACGTTACCGTTAGTCAGTTAAAAGGTATAAAGCGCTAAATCAGGCACATTAACAAATATTTTTCATCTGCTCATTCTAACTTTTTTTTTAAAGACTTGTTTGGTATTGAGATACCACGACACAAAGGAGCCTTCAAAATTATTTATGTAAGTTTTATATATAAATGGAAAACGAAAGATTTTATTTTATATTAAATTTTTTTTGATATTTTTTCTTCAGACCATATTGGATTGGATTCCACAAATTCCAAATTCGAATGTGACAACCATCATTATGTCAGGCTGTGTAATTTTGTTTATGGTGATCATGAATGAAATACTGAAAGTAAGTAAAACAAAATGTGTTTTTTAATTTAAAAAAAAAAAAAAACATTTTATCAAATGTCCAATACATTTTCAGCCTCGATGTTCGAAAATGTGCAAGTTTCCATTACCAGCCGAATTGATAGCGGTGGTTGGCGGTACTTTAATCTCGAGTTTATTGAATTTGGGCACCGAACACCATGTTAAATTAGTTGGTTTCATTCCGATGGGCTTACCATCGCCGGAACTACCACCAATCAAATTGCTTTGGGCAGTTTCAGTGGATTCAATTGCCATTGCTATTGTTAGTTATACGATTACAATTTCGATGGCGTTAATATTTGCGAAAAAACAAAACTACGAAGTTCGACCAAATCAAGAGTTATTAGCAATGGTTAGTGTCAAAACAAATAGTTTAAAATTCAAAACACTATTTAAACGATCGACTTATGATAAATATTCAATATTTTAGGGTCTATCGAATATCGTGGGCGGTATGTTTTCATGCATACCAAATGCAACAAGTTTGTCAAGATCTTTAATCCAAGAACAAACCGGTGGTCGAACTCAAATTGCATCTGTTGTATCGTCGTTTCTTATTTTAATCATTCTTTTGTGGATTGCACCATTTTTCCAAATGTTACCAAGAGTAATGACCACAAAATATATTTTCCAATGAATTATTTTAATAATTGAGACGTTTGTGTCTTCTTTTAGTGCGTTTTATCGGGAATTATTGTGGTTGCGCTTAAAGGAATGTACACACAAGCGTTGCAATTAAAAAGGTTTCATCAAGAGTGCAAAATCGAATCATTGACTTGGCTTGTGACATTTGGGGCTGTTGTTTTAGTTGATGTTGACATTGGGTGAGTTGATTTCGCTTAATTTTGAATAATTTTTAGAAATTTTATTCTTTTCGCATATTTGCAAAAGATAATAATATAAAAATAAATTGATTTTCATTTCCAAATATGTTCAGGCTCTTCTTCGGATTGATGACATCATTGTTTGCAATCTATATCAAAGGTTGGCGATCACAATGTGCTATGCTCGGTGCAATTAATGACACTGGCATCTATGTGAATCTTGCCACGCACAATAAAGCCGTTGAAGTGGCAAATATAAAAATTTTCCAATACATTGGTGCGATCAATTTTTCATCGGCCAGCTCATTTAAACGATCGCTGTACAAAAATGTTGGCGAAATTCGACCAAATACCACCGAACTTAATGGAAATGTTGATGGTGTTTTGAAAAAATTACAACCGCATGCGGTTATTGTGGATCTATCGTGTGTATCAAATATTGATATGGCTGCATGCAGAGCATTTGCTGAAATTCAAACCGATTTTCTTATATCGAATACCGTTATGTATTTATGTGGACCGAATGATCGTTTAGTTGATGCCATTCAACATGCTGAACATTTATCGGTGGGAAAATTCTCAGTCTTTCCAACGATTCATGACGCTGTATTATATTTTCAAAGTTCAGCAGCTGATAATGTTTGAAAAAATATCATGATAATTCGTTTTATATGGACAGTATCATCCAGTGCATAAGTGATGGATAAATATAGACAAAATATTTGGTATGAGGTCTGAGTGGCATGAATTTGAATATTAAAATTATGTGGACAATTCCATGAGTAGCATTTCTATTTTTTTTTTTTTTTGGAATCATGTTCTACTTGAATTTGTTGATTTTGTTTTTGTGATAACCTAACAGTTACTAACAAAGAGTTCAAATCAATTAATAGCCTTATAGCAAATGGATAAATTATTTTTGAAAAAAGAGCCAATTGTTACTTATATACACATTTATTGTATATAAATTGAATATATTTTTTGTAAATGTTATTAAACGAATGCCAAAAAATAGCGAAAGATACTAATTCACACCTTGTTTTCAAAATGATGCATATTATTTTTAGAATACATTATTGTACTTTATAAATTTGTATTAGATACGAATTAAAATCATATAATAAATTTATATACTTTAATGTAAGCATAAGAATTTCATTTTAGGCACTGATTTTTGCTTATGAGTTATTTAAATACAATGATTATATATTTTTCCCCTTTTTTCAGCCCATTCGAATTCGTTTCATTTTAATCGTTTTTTGTTATCATTATTCAACTTTAATCATTCTAGTGGATTTAGTTTGGAATGATTAAAATCAGATAAAAACGACTCAAATCTTACCAGCCTGCCAAATCGACAATTTTCAATATATTTCCAAACTTTATAAAAAAACTATAGAATAAACTATCATATCACGTTCCCGGAACAAAATCAAAATCCCACTTAAAGTCCCACTTGGGTCTTGTTTAGATCTTAGTTAGGTTTTTAGGTCCCAATAAAGTCCCACTTAAGTCCCAATGGGGACCCAATTGTGTCTTAATTAGGTTTATAAGTCCCAATTAAGTCCCACTTAAAAATAAAATCCGTGACAATTTGCGGACGACCAAAAAAAATCGAAAATCAGACAATATATTTAGCTGTCGTCATCTGGATATTTCAGCTCATCTGGATATCGTCAGCAGATGATATTAAGTGAAAACAATAGAAGTGATTGTTATAGTAATACCAGTATATGACAAGCTTATATACCTATAACAATCATTTCTATTGTTTTCACTTCGTCGAAAATGTGCTGATGCCATAATTAGTAATTGGCTTTTCAAGTGAGGGTGCTCTCCAAGAACTCAAAACATTCGAGAGTTTGGAAAAATATTGAAAATTGTCGATTTGGCAGAGGGGCATGTGATTTGAAATCAT